ACGGCAATGACCCTGAGCTTTTCCAGATCCCGCCTGAGCTGGTGCTGGAAGTGCCCATCAGGCACCCCAAGTAAGAGGGCTGGCGTGGGGGTGGGGGTCCCCGGGCCCCTCTCCGCCCAGCCTTCGCCCCCTGGCTCCCTCTGCAACCCAGACAGGGGTTCCCAGGGGGTCTTGGTTCCTCCCCATGGTCTTGGGCAATGTGGGTGCCCTCAGGGGCCATCCTGAGAGCAGCCAACCATCGAAAGTGGACCCAATATTTTAAATAAAAACAGGATTCAGCTCAGAATTGAGATTAGGGTGACACAAGCAAGGGGGGGGGTCACACAGGGAGGGATGGGAGCCTCTCTATTTAAAGTTTCAATATTTTGTTCAAAATATATACATAGATGTGTGACACTAAATTATGTTTTTAATTGCATTAATCTAAAACGCTGCATGAATAAGCAACAGCCTTGATGTCGATGGCGGAGTCTGTTGGGGTCCCCCTAGATTTTGCACCCTGGAGGAGTGCCTCATTTGTGTTCCCTTCCTCCTGGCCCTGGACAGGAGGCCCGGGTCACAAGGCTCCTGGTGCCGCCTGCTCTCTGGGAGCACCCCCAGCCTCCTGGATCCGCTCAGTGACTCAGGCCACATGGTTCCCACTCCACTCAGGCACCCGGCTGGCCTTTGGGGCTGACTTGGTCCCTGCCTCGGTGGTCTTACCTTCTCAAAGAGGAGAAGATCTTACAAACACAACTACTTCATGCTTCTAGGCCCTATAAAGTGACTTGATTCCAGTAAAATGTGGCAGTCGGAACTTTATGATGCCCAGAAGTTGTGAGGTCACACGGACCCAATAGGACATCAGAGAAGGTTTCCCCAGAGTGAGCAGCATTTTAGCTGAGAATTAAGCATAGGGAGGAGCTGAGGGCACAGATGGAAGAGAGAGGACCCCCAGGAAGAAGGAGCCAGCAGCCTGTGCAAAGGCCCTGGGGTAGAAAGGTGCCCCGTGGATTGCAGCAGAGTGATTTCTCCACACTTTCTCCTGGACTCACTCTTAGTGTTGGTTTGGAAGACCCACCGCCACCCAGGGCAGTGGTTCCCAGACCTGGCCTGTCTTGCCGGCTGCAGGTTTGACTGGTTCAAGGACCTGGGCCTCAAGTGGTACGGCCTCCCCGCTGTGTCCAACATGCTTCTGGAGATTGGCGGACTGGAGTTCAGCGCCTGTCCCTTCAGCGGCTGGTACATGGGCACGGAGATCGGTGTCCGCGACTACTGTGACAACTCCCGCTACAACATCCTGGAGGTAGGGTCCCTCGGTGGTCCCCGGGGCAGGACGCCTCAGGCAGAGGTTTGGAGCCTAGAAACTGGAAGGGGAACAAATAGAACCACAATCCGGGTGAACTTCTGGAAGCATCCGTGTGTCTTTACCAGGGATGGTAGCAACGGCCAACACACAGCACGTAGCCCACGCTAACACTGCTTAAGCACCTTATGTATACAGTCAACCCCCCCCCCACTGCCCGGTGTCTGTCTGGGATTCATCCAGGAACCCCCACCGAAGCCCAGGTCCTTGATGTCAAAGGCCCAGGGTGTCCCTGTGACCCACACACCCCCGGCATGCTCAGATCATCTCCAGGTGACTTCTGATACAGTGCTAACCCCAAGGGCTCAGAGGATGAATCATGACAGGGAAGACATGTCTTGGACACGTTCTCTACAGGAGCAAGCTTCTTCCCAAGTATTTTCCTGGGAAGGTTGTTTGAATCTGCATAGACGGAAACCGCGGCTCTGGCTGCAGGGGGCCTTGCGGTGTGCGGGGGCTTGTGTGTTCAGGTGACTGGTCCCTTTCCTTCAAGGTACCGGCTGTGACATTCTCCAAGTTACTGTTCCTATCAGTGGCTTGGAGCCCACCGGCTGTAGCACATTCTCATTTAACCCTCACCTTAACCTTACGGTGTGATAATCCCCTTAAGGTGGAGAAAATGAGGCCTTCCAGAGGGAGTAAGTGACAATCTCAAGGTCATGCAGCAGAGGAGGGTAGCATTTCTCCACAGAGGGTCTGATTCTCCCCCCTCCCCAATGAGTCCTCCTGAAGGATTCAGGTGCTATATTTAGTCAGCCAACGTCCCTACCAACAGTCTTCAGCGGTTGGCCTCATTTCAAAAGAAGATATGGGGGAACAGAGAAGTTAAGTTCTGGTCCTATGTCACACAGCAAATAAGGTACAGAGTCAGGAGTAGAACTCAGACCCAAGCATTAGGTTTCTGTTGTTTAAATCCATGGGTCCAGGGGGTCCTCAGACTTGCTGCACCTTGGAGTTTACCCTGGGGGCTTTATGATGCCCAAGTCCCCCTCCCCGGAACCCTGATGTTATTGATCTGGTCTGGACCCCAGGCTTCAGCATTTTGTAACATTTTTTAATTTCCTCAGAAGGTTCTACTGGGTAGCACCCCCATCTGTACCACCTCCTGGCAGGAAAGGGGGAAATATTTCAGATAATTTCCATAGATATGGCTCAAGTTGCATTGGGGGATTTTTAGTTTTTTTAAGTCACATAGGTTTTTTTTCTTTTTTTTTTCCTCTGCAACTAATTGTTCTTGTTTAATTTTTTTAAAAAATGCTGTAGAATGCCAGGCACATACTCCTGTCATCCCAGCAGCTCGGGAGGCTGAGGCAGGAGGATCATGAGTTCAAAGCCAGCCTCAGCAACTTAGCGAGGCCACTCAGGGAGACCCTGTCTCTAAAGAAAATATTAAAAAGGGCTGGGGATGGGGCTCTGTGGTTAAGCGCCCCTGGGTTCCATCTTTGGTACTAAAAACAATGCAGGAGCCGCATGACTGCCCACACGACACTTGGCTCTTTCCTAAACCAGCTCGAGTTTTACATGTCTCTGTGCAAAGCAGCAGCTAATGGTCTGCTCTCTGCAAACGCGCCCCAGCTCCAGACCCAGCAGAACCTAACGCCCGGCCTCCGAGAATGCATTACCAAGTTCTCATTGCGCTCTCTGAGTGCATGTCCCTTGCAAGGAGTCGTCACGGGCAGCTAGACGAGCCTGTCACCCGCCCCAGCCCTCAGTTCCAGCTGCCGTTGTATACAGACGGTGACAGCTGGGTGGGAAATGACTTCCCCAGTCCTTAGAAATCGCTGCCTTGCAGCCCTGTAATGAGACCTGGGCTCCGCCGGGGACGGCGTGACGGGAGGTGAGCAGCTCAGCCTTAATTAACGAGCCTGCTGCCGGCTCTGCCCTGCCGCTCCAGAGCCGGTGTCTCCGACTGTCACCAATGCTCTTTCCCAAGTAACTTGACACAGGTGCCAGCTGATGAGGAGGCAGCTCCCAGGTCTCGGGGATCGGGTGTCCCCCAGCTCTCCCTCCACGGCCACCTGGCTCCGTGGACTGTGGACAAGTGCAGACGGGGTTCTGGCCTCAGTTTCCCTCATCCGTCAGAGCCCAGCAGGTGTCCCTCTGAACCCACAGCCCACCATCTTGAGTCTAAGTAGTGACCGCTGCAGACTGGGACAGAACGGGGGGCTTCTCCTCCGAGGAAACAGTCGCTCCTAAATCCATCGGAAGACCACCCTCGGATTTGAAATAAAATCCTGGCTTCCTGGCTCGCCCTCCAGGGTCCCCCCGCATCCAGTCCTGCTTCTCTCTCCCACAGCCCCCACCCCCCGCGGCTCCCCCTCCTGCGGGCACACGGGTCCTCCTTCTGCTTCTCAGGTGACCCAAGCCCGATTCCCACCCCAGGGCCTTTGCTCTTGCTCTTCTCACTCACAAGTCCCCGGCCCTGGTCTGCGGACATCTTGCTTCTTCTCATCTTCTCCTCCTCCCATTTCCTTCCTAGGAATCAACACTGATCATAAAATGAGCCCCCTCCCCACTCTACAGGCATGTCAGCTCCAGGACTCAAGGGCTCCTTCATGTCCAGTAGATTCTCAATTAAAAACAAAAAAGCCACAACCACTTTTGCAGGAGTGAGTCCATGAGGGACCGGGGCATGAGCTGGTTAGTCCAGGGACCCACGGTGGCGGCACCCGCCCTCCTTCGTTCTGAAGCACCGAGGGGCCCCAGCCTGTGAGTGGGTTTTGTCCCCCTTCAGGAAGTAGCCAAGAAGATGAACCTGGACATGAGGAAGACGTCGTCCCTGTGGAAGGACCAGGCGCTGGTGGAGATCAACATCGCCGTCCTCTACAGCTTTCAGGTAGCTCCCGGCTCACGGGCGCGAGAACCTTCCAGAACCTTGGTGCTGAGGGTCGAGAAACCTGGCGACCAAAACCCACCTGGGCGGGTCCTGTCCACCAGCATGACCCCCTTCCTGTCCGCCTGCCTCCCCTGCTTGTGGGTCCTGGGTGGGGACCCTGTGAGGAAAAGAATACTAGATGGGCAGGGAGGTCACCACCTGCTGCTCACGGTGCTTCGGAATCACCATGAGGAGCTGGGCAAGATGACCGACCCCTGTCATCCCCGCGGCTCAGGAGGCTGAGGCAGGAGGATCACGAGTTCAAGGCCAGCCTCAGCAACTCAGCGAGGCCCTGATCATCAGCAAGGCCCTGTCTCTGGCTGGGGTTGTGGCTCAGGGCTTCAGCACCCCTGGATTCCAGCCCAGTGCCCCCCCTTAAAAAAGTTGTGACAACAGGTGTCCTCTGTTCCTGTCCTCTCCTAGGGACTCCTCACGATCAGAGCCTTATGGGTCCCCAGAAAGGGTGTGAACGGAGTTAAGCCCTTGGGTTCTTTGTCCCCAGTCAGAAGAATTGGCCCAGGGTGAGAGCCAAGGTCACGGGGCTCCCAGAGTGGACGGGCCCCAGAGAGGGACGCCCGCTGTCTCGGGGTTCTTCAGGGGTCCCTGGTAGCCCTGCGCAGGTGGCCCAGGGAGGCCGGTGTGGACGGAGTAAGTGCTCCACGCTCTGCTGTAATAAGCCGATGGCAGGTGAACGGTCCCCAACGTGTTACGTGGTTAAGAGGACAGGTCCCTCCTCAGGGTCTGACACGTCCGTGGGGTCCACTCTGTGGCCCACCCTTGCTGGGGTGGGGGCGAGGTCACCAAGGAAGGGCGGCTGCTCTTGGAGCTAAAGGGGCAGGACAGGTGTTCCCAGGAAGCCATGTGGTGACAGCCCCCAGGGGGTCAGTCCCCCAGACCCCGTGTGTCCTTCCAGGTTGGCGTGAGGTGCCCTTCTCTTGGCCGCCCAGGGGAGGTACCTCCACCTGCCTCCATACTGGACTAGGAGGACTGGACACTCCCTGTCTGAACCACGACGTGTGGAGACCACAGAGCGGACACTTGGTCACGAACACAAAATCACATCTTGTCACTGACCCGTGATGACCCAGGGCAGGGGCAGGGTCTGGGGTTCTCTGGTTTTTGCAAAGCAGGACCAGAGACCAGAGGACAGTCTCTAGAATCGAGGCCAGCTCTGCCCTCGGGGGCTTCCCACCAAGCCTGGATAGATGGGTGGAAACTGAAGTCACACGTCAGGGACAGAGAGGGGGCCCAGGGACCAACGGCACCGAGAACAGAGAACTCGCAGAGGGTGAGGGTGAGGGAGCTGTTGAGATCCCAGCTCGGATCCCTGGGGACCTGGGCCAACGACAGGCAGGCTGGGGACAGCACGGATGGACTGAGCTGACCAATCAGAAAAGCACAGAGGGGACAAGATACGGTGGGTGGAGAGAGGAGCGTCACCTGGACGTCCATTCCCCACCTGGGAGGGGTTTACCTGGGTGACGTTTCATCCGCTCGTTTTAGGACGTCAGACTTTGTATGTTAAGAGGGTTTTACGTCCCCACGCTCACGGGAGAAGTGGGATCGGTGGCCATAAGTAGGAGGGAACAGAATATTAAACCAATGAACAGGAAAAGAAAATTGTTGGAGTCTAGTCACTGCCGGAGGTTCCTCACCCTTCTTAAAAAGCAGGGAAAGGTATGAAAGACATCGGCACCAACAGGGACTTTTTCCTGGGTGTGATTACAAGTGAGAGAAATGCAGAGAGTCACCAGCTCCCCTCACACTGCTTAGAATCATCTCCAGGACTACCATCTTGTTTGCTTTCTTTTCTTTAAATTTTTATTTATTTTTTATTTTTTTGGGGGGGTGGGGGGGGTTCTGGAGATTGAATCCAAGGACGCGTTACCACTGAGCCCTATCCCCAGCCCTTTTTATTTTACTTTATTTATTTATTTTGAGGCAGGCTCTTGCTAAATGGCTTACAGCCTCATTCAGTTGCTGAGGCTGGCCTCCAACTGGCCATCCTCCTCCCTCAGCCTCCTGAGTCTCTGGGATTACAGGCATGCCTTGCTGGGCTTGGCTTCCCCAACTCCTCTGACTCCTGGTCCCTTCTCTTCTCACAGAGCGACAAAGTGACCATCGTTGACCACCACTCCGCCACCGAGTCCTTCATTAAGCATATGGAGAACGAGTACCGCTGTCGGGGGGGTTGCCCGGCTGACTGGGTGTGGATTGTGCCCCCCATGTCTGGCAGCATCACGCCCGTCTTCCACCAGGAGATGCTCAACTACAGGCTCACACCCTCCTTTGAGTACCAGGTCCTGCCCCTTCTGCCCCTTTCCGTGCCGAGTCCCCCCATATCTGCTGTGTATGTTGTGTGGGGAGCACATCTCACTCTGGGCCAGCTCTTTGGATGTGCAAATGCCCAGTGGCCACGTGTGGCTCCTGGCTCCCCCACTGGGCAGCACAGTCTTGCCGAAAGACTAACAGAGACAAAATGAGTGCCCAGAGAAAGTAGGCGGGGACCCAGGGCTGATGGGAGGGGCTGGCAGGACACTACAGGGAGGCAAGGACAGCTATGGTGACCGCAGGTGGAATCCCTGCTCTCGAGGGCTGTGGGGTCGGGCAGCCTCGAGCCCCGGGGAGCCCTGGGCATCTCCATGAGAAGCTGCCGTCCCTCGTGGCAGTGACCAGAGCCCTCTGTCCCCTTCCCAGCCCGATCCTTGGAACACCCATGTGTGGAAAGGCACCAACGGGACCCCCACAAAGCGGCGCGCCATCGGCTTCAAGAAGCTGGCCGAGTGAGTGTCCCGCCATGGGGACCCGGGGTGCGCCCAGAAAAGGGGGACACAGCGGCGGGTGGGTGACCCCATCGCCAGAGGTCGCGACACCTGGGTTGGTAACGTCCACCCATTTCTGTGGGGCCCATGTTCCCCTCGGGGCCATTTTCCAGGGAAGTCAGAACCCGGGGGAGCCCGGGGGAGCCTGCCCCAGGCCTCCCTCGTTCATTGCCTCATTCATTTCCTCATGCGTTGGTCCTTGAGCCAACAGATGAACACCAGGTACGTTCTCCACGCCAGGCGCTGGGCTAGGCTCTGCCGGGTCGAGCAGGGCCCCTGATCTCAGGACGGCCCCAGCCATCACCTGGCAAAGAACAAACATGAACAATAGTCAACACTGGGTCTGTGGCACGGGCACCGAGGAGTGGCTCCCGGGCCGTGAAATAGATGTCACCTAGATGTCACCTAGATGTCACCTAGATGTCACTTGGGAGGTCAGGGAGGACGTCCCTGAGTCGGTGAATGAGATAAACAAGGGTTAATGGAGCAAAGAAGGGGAGAGAGGGGGCTGCGGACCAGGATGACCACTGTGGGGTCCTCTCTTCCTGAAGGACGCTCGGCCACCTGGGGGCCGGCTGGGTGGGGGGCAGGGGCCGACTGGGCTGATAGAATGGGGACCCCAGGCTTCTGCCCAAAGGGAGCTCCACCAATCCACCGTGTTGGGCAGCCATCGGGGTGGACTGGGCTAGCTGGGGTCCAGAAGCGTCCGTGTGTGCCAGTCTAGTTCTGCAGCAGGGGCCACCTCTGCCAGGGACCCATGATGGGTGCCGTGGTTCCCGCCCCCATGATTGGCACCCGGGATATCTCTCCCCTCCCCCTCTCTCCATCCCCTCCCACCCGCCAGCCAAGGAGGAGCCCAAGGCAGCGCCCTTCCCCCAACAGGAGGCTCTGGAATATTCTCGGCCAGGGCCACCTTTGGCTCTAGCTCAGCCCCTCTGTCTCCGGGAGGAGAAGGGAGACAGGAATCTAAGACGTTAATTGCACCATGAAGTTTGCAGTAGAAACAAAAGGAGTTAATTATAGATGCGCTGTCATGCTCCATCCCTCCCAGGGAACCCTCCACGCACCTTGAATCCCTTGGGGTTCCCCACCTCCCCGCCCTTAGCTCAGTCTTCCCCCCCTCCCCCGCGTGGGTGGCTCCCCTAGTTCTGAAAAACTTACCACCGATGATCCCCAGGTGGGAGGTGATTAGCGATTTGTTGACACTAAGACTCCTGAGAAGAATGGCTTGGGAGTGGAGCCCGGGTACTCGCCTCCCCCAGCCCCTGCCAGCAGAGGGGAGGGAAGGAAGCGGGTTTGAGGTTCTCTGTTGAGCTAGGAGGAGGCTGCATCTGACATCTAAGCTCCGCAGGGCTCAGGTGACATCAGCATCTTTCTAAACTCGTCGTTTTTCATAGACATTTCTTTTGTGCATGGGAGATGCCAGGTGCCCTGCAAAGCCCTGGATGTCATTGCTGAATAAACCCAGCCTGGCCCTTCCTCTGCAGGTCCCTAAACCCCTAGAACCTTCCGACTCGATGCCTGGTGCATCAACAGTGGTTTGGGGTTTTTTTTCCCCCCGTCTCTCTCAAATACACACGCACCCACAAAATAAGCCCCGTGAATGGATGTGAATGAATGAGGGGGTGGACGGGCTTTTTAAGGACTGTCCTTCAAGGCAGCGCACGGTACCCCGAGGTTCACTAGCAAAACCCACCGGCCACTTTAACCCCTGCCTGACTGCCCTGGGGTTGGGGATAAAGTCGCTCAGTGGGGTGCGTCCACTCGGGGGCTCTGACTCTTGAAGCATCAAGGATCAAGAGACTCGATGCTCTGATCTCGTGGATTGTGGTTCTGGCCCGAAAAATCCCAACCTGGTGTCTGTTTCCCAACTTTCCTCCCCGACTCCCAGAGCCGTCAAGTTCTCAGCCAAGCTGATGGGACAGGCCATGGCCAAGAGGGTCAAAGCCACCATCCTCTACGCCACAGAGACCGGCAAATCGCAGGCCTACGCCAAGACCCTGTGCGAGATCTTCAAACACGCCTTTGACGCCAAGGTGGGCAGCGGGCAGTGCCGGTCCCCAAGCCCCTCGCGGTGAATACGGTTGGGAAGGGGAGAGAGGGAGGTGGACAGAGAGGAACTCTGGCCCCAGGACGAAAGACGAAGATGCGCATCAGCACACCCTGCTGCCAATTTCAGGGGGCTGTCATAGTCCTCTCCCCACGGACCAAGTAGGAGTCCAGGAACCACCAAATGAAATCCCTGTCTCTGAAGAAAAAAGTCAGTGGGTTTTTGAGAAAACCATCCTGGAGTCAGTTTTAGGAAGTTCTGTGCTAAAGACAGCTCGGTGGGGCCTCGCGGCTGCAGGACTTCTCAGAGCCTTTAGTGCATGAACGAACGTGCATTATCATCTCCTAAGGAGGAAAGGGTGGGTTATAAATGTCTCCCAGATATAATTTTTCGGGAGATACCAGGGATTGAACTCAGGGGCACTCCACCACCGAGCCACATCCCCAGCCCTAGTTTGTATTTTATTTGGACACAGAGTCTCCCCCGAGTTGCTGAGGGCCTCTCTGTGGCTGAGGCTGGCTTTGAACTCTGGATCCTCCTACCTCAGCCTCCTGAGCCGCTGGGACAACAGGCTTGCACCACTGCGAGCCGGCTCCCAAATATAAATGAGCCTGGGTCATTTCTTTTCATGGGGCACCCCAGCAGATTGGACTTCCTGAGACCCTACTTGGACAGATGTTGTGCGGGTGATGCTGAGACTCAGGGTGACAGTCTCAGATTCATCTGATCCGGGGGCTTCACGCTGCAGAGGGCAGGTTTAGAGAGGAGGGTGGAGCGGGCCACTTAGGTCCAGCCAGGCCATTCCCAGCCTGAATGGGGACAGGAAGAATCCAGGATCGGTTGGCGGTAAGAAGCCCATGGACTGACTTCATTCAAGATCCATCTCTCCTGGCAGCCAGCCCTGGGACTAGGGCCTGGCCCAGATCCTGCATCCTTCACCCCCAGTGACCACAGGAAGGTCCTCCTGCTGCTAACAGGCTTCTGGTCCCACCCACTTGAGCCCGTTGATGAACTGACAGCCCAGAACATCTGCCCCTCTTTCCAAAGGGGACGACTCAAAATGACTCGCCTTCTCCCTCTCTCTCCTCCTCTCCCCTCCCCCCCCATCACCTCCCCTTTTCTCTCTCTATTTTTTTTCTCTCTCTTTCTTTCTTTCTTTCTTTCCATTTAATCTCTACTCTTCTTTTCATGTCCTACATAATGTGGCAGTAATTTTACTATCTGTAATAACTCATTTCCCAACCTACTCCAGAGTGTTACCACAATTTTATACCCAGAATATGAGAAGAGTTGAAAATTTTTTCATCAAGTCCCACTTGACCTAAGGTTTATTAGTGTGTGAAGTTTGCTCTGAAGGTACTAAGGTTTAGTATCTTCTTTCAGTGATGCTGAGTTTGGGAATAAAGATGAACATGTTGAATGGGAGTACCAATACCTGGATATTCACCCAGCCCAGGGAACTTACACAAAGAAGCTCACTAAATTGTCTCTTGTTTAAAAGTATAAGTAAT